TATTTAATATATTTTTTCAATAGATACTAAAGCTAATCTGTTTAATCTTTATTGAGACATTACTAATCTTAAGTAAGTTTTTATTAATTTTAATTTTAAAAAACTTCTTTTAGCTGAAGCAACTGATATCAGAATTGTTAACATTATTCTGTAAGTTATATATGTATTTGAAAAAGAATCTATTCTTTTTATATAATTGAGAATGTCAATTGATTTATCAATTTTCAATTTTATAATTTCTTTTAAGATATTTAATTATGAAAATAAATATAATCCATCAATATCCAAGAAATTATCATGTTTCAAAGATTTCTCTAATCTCTACTACCTTCGTTAGCTAGTTTACTTGTACAAGAAACAAAATTAAATAATTTGCAACAAAAACAAAATACTCTATCTAAATCTATGGAATAAATTAACCATCTTCTTTCATGTTTCTCTCCATTAGGTAATTTTTGAATGTAATTTAATGAAGAAAATATCTGGAATATTTATCCTTTGGAAAATCTATACCAATAACTTTAATAGGGTCTTTTTCTATTAATAAGTCTCTCAAATTTGTACTAATATTCGTCCATTAACTTGGATCATATATATTTTTAGAAGTAAAATAATCTAATCTTTCAATTTCTTCCTCGTTATCATGAGTTTGAGAATTAAAATTATCCTTTTCACTAACTAATTTTCTATTTTCACCTATATCTTTATTGTTATCTTGTTCATTCAAAGAGCATCTGCATGTGTTTTATAATGCGTTTTTCTTGTCTGCTTTTATAAATTTATCCATAGCTCTTTTTTGTGATTCAATTAAAGCCTCGACTCTTCTCTTTTTCTAAAGTTTTGAATGGCCTGATTCATATTTTCTAGTTGACTTATATAAAAAAAAGTATGAAATATAAATATATAAAATAAGACCAAATTAAAACAATAAAACCTGATTGTCAAGAAAATAAACTTGACTCTTGCAATCTCTACGCTTCTAAAAGTGACAGCTTTGCAAAGAAACTGCGAAATATTGTTTGGTAAGTGTGGGTAATGGAGGCTGAGTAGTGAAGGAAAGACTTTTGTACTAGTGCCTCTACGTTGAAAAAATAGAAGACTTTGTACCAATGCTTTTGAGTTAGAAAAATAGAAGACTTTACTTCCTCTTCCACTTCTATCCCAAGGTTGTTGTTAGTAAAAAAATACAAATTGAAGTAAAATTGAACAAGAAGAGAAGAAGAAGAATATAGTAGTTAGAGAAAGAAATAAAAAAAAAAGTAGCAATTAAATAAAAAGTTAAAAAACTGTTCAGTTTTTTTCTTTTCTATTCAATTATTTAAAAAGAATAAATTAAAAACTGTTTATTATCTATTGGTTAAGAGTTACGGCTCATTAAATATTATTTATAATATCAATAAAAAGTTAATAATTACTTAAAATACTTAAATTAAAAGCTATTTTTAAATTTAATTTTTTTAAAAGTATATTAAAAAAAAAATTTGGAGGACTAAAGCCCTTGCCTTACTTGCTTGAGCTTTAGGCCGCCCCTAACAATAAGTGTTCAAAAATAAGTTCATTGGTTTTTTTTCTAGACTTTTTTTTGCACATTATTTCTTTTATCGAATGTTTTAGGATTACGTTAATTATTTTGGACTTGTCATTATATTTTTAAGATGTATTTTTACCAATATTTTCTATCATTTTTTTTCTTTCTTTTAAGCAAAATAAATGTTCCTTAATTAAGATATTCATTTAGATGATGCAAATATTTTATAATTTTAATTGTTATATTAATAAGATAATCATGTGTCCTTGTTATCATATTGCAATCCTACTTTTGTAAGATTACTTGATTAATTAATTTAATTTTGAGCATATTTTTACTATCATCCAATCAAGAAAGTACATCTTAACGGTATGAATGAGTTTATTTTTCTGACTTTAGCAATTATTGTGTATTTGTTTATACACAAAATAGACTTGCATAATCATTTATTAAATATTTAAAAGTAATTGAATGGTCATTGCCTAAAAAGTCAAAATTTTGATTTCTACTTGTAGACATAATATTATATGTCTCAACATTAATTCATGTTAACCAACAAGTTATCATCAACACTTTTTCATACAGTTAATTAGTTTACAATTATTAACTTAATATGTTTCAAATGAAAAAAAAAAAGTATTTAGATGTGTAGATATATGTTAGGTGAAATAGTTTGAAGACAGAGTGAAATTTATTTTTGTAGAATTTTAATAAAATTTAATTCTATGAAGCACAAGGTTAATAAAGTAAAAAAAAAAAAAGATATACATAGAGATTTTAATAAATTAATTTTTTAACATTAAAAAATAATAAATAGTTAAAAAATGAAAATTAATTAGAATAAACTACCATTGTGTCATTTTTATCCTTAAACAATATAAGATGAACTAGAAGTTCCAAAATTATTTTAAACCAAATAAAACATATAAATGATATAATAATAAAAATTTGATATATTAATAATTTATTTATTATTAATAATATATACTTTAAATAATTGAAAAATAAAAAATGTCATTTCCCCCCAAAAGTGCTTCGAAAAAATGCCTTAGTATAATGAAAAAAAAGCCAAGTCAATTAAAATTTTCTGGTAGATACTTTTGGCTCTAGTTTATTTATTTAAAAAAGAACAAATTAGTTGTTGCATAAAATTGGAGTTATCCAAGGTCACTTGATAAACTTATTATCCAATTAAAAATATTAAATATTACAGTCACTTTTCAATTATAATAATCGGTTTTTGGACAGATATAATATTCAGCTCAGAGCCTCAAACAGGAAAATAAAAATGTATTTTAATCTATACAGGAATTCAAAGGCACATTTGCGGTAATCTCAGTTAGTTTTTACCAAATACCTTGTCCATCGCCAAATGCTAGCAAGAACACAACCTTGTATTTAACAGCAACACATTTTTCTTAAAATTTAAAGCCAAAATCAAGTAATTATTCAAATGCAGATTGGTATCATTTGCAGTGTGGCTCTTTTTTTTTTCTTTTTTTTTCGTCTTTTTTCGGAAGGTGGGTTTTTTTTCCTTCTTTTTTGAGTTTTTTCATCCAATAGGTAAAAAGAAAAAAAGATTCTGTTTACAATTATGAAAAAAAGGCAATTATGTTTTATAGGATAAAGTTCTCCGATTCATATCTAAAGAAAGAAAAACTGAAGAAAGCAAAATGCTTTTGTTGACTTAAAGTAGTTGTAGAAATTATACGAAATATATAGTTATAAACCCATATTTTTGAAACAATAAAATAATTTACTCTTGTAATTTGGTTGACTAAAAATGTGTAGAACAAAATTTCAATTAGAAAAACCAAGGTACCAATTTTTTTTTTTATATGGTTTTCAATATAATTATGGTTACTTTTTTTTAAAACATAAGCCTTCAGCCACGTTATAATATGTTATAAATCAAATCAAATGGACATTGGTTTATAATCAATCACAAAAAGCTGCGATCGATATCATGTTTTCATTTGTTTGCATCAAATATGTTAGTGAATCCTGTGATAATCTTTGAACTATAAAGGTAGTTTAAAGATACATGATTATGGTAAGGATTATAGTATTAGTCTCTCATACTATTTTCAAAACAAGGGGAAAGTGGTAAAAAATTACAGTGGAATTGATGATTTTGGTCAAGGTACTTTATGAATGGCAATGCACTTAGTTCTCGGACGAAGTTCACTGATTGGAAATGTGGAATAATTATATAAAGTTGTGATAAACATAATACTCATTTTGTGTGAGATCATCCACCTTCAATATTTCCTGCTTAAAATTACAGATACCTTTCGTTGAGCCAAAAAGAAAAAAAATAATCATTGTTTTGATAGCTAATTAATCTTTTGACTGTAACAATTGTGCCTCAAAATTTTAGACAAAACTTGTCTTGCTGTTGAAATTAAACATTCATAAACAAAAATTCTTATAAAAAAATATATTTATTATACTAAAGTGTATAATGAAAATTTATTTTTAATATAATTTTTTAATTATTATTAGTTGCATATCTTGGACCTTCAAACTTGAGGTTAATATTTTTTTTTATATTTTCCTGTAAGCATATTTATACACAAAAAAAAAAGGAAAAAACATTCTTATGTTATTTGATAAAAATATTTTTTTTCTTTGACGTAACTGTAACATATTCATTAATAATATAAGAATTTAATTTTTGGTAAAAAGTTTAAATGCCTACTTTTCCTAACTCCTATCCTTTTGAATCCTTTGCTACCACTGCATGCTGCTTATCTACTAAGTATATTGCATTCCATCTACACGTATAATGTACATGCACACAATTAGCTATAGACGCATAAAAAAAAATAAAATACATACATTACATTTTTAGTGTTGTTTTTAAATTAAAACTAAAGTATATATATTAACTTTTATCATACATATATATGGAGTGGAACTATTTTAATTAGAGAATTAAAAAATATATATGTATGAAATCACACTTAAATTTGAATATAAAAAATGAGAAACAGAGAAAATTAATGAATTTCATAAGTTATTTTTAAAAATCCCAGCCGCCCATAATAGCCACCCAAATTGCTCACACACACAAACACACACACTCTCTCTCTAAAAAGAGGGAATATCTATGAATACACAAAAAAACACCCTTCCCAATTGGCATCCCCACACACAGCCACTCTCCACCCAGAGAATCCCATAAAAACAAGAACAAGAACAGTGGCATCATCAACCACAACAAAAACAACACCAACATCAAACAAATGAACCCAACCTCTTCCCTCTTCCCATCACCACTATTTCATCTCAATCACTCCTTCCCCCAATCCCTCTCTCTTTCTCTCTCTCTTGAAGAGTTATTATCATAGACACCCATAGACAGGGACCAACCCTAAACTGTTGAGAGAGTACTCACTCACTCACTCAGCACGCACGCTTGAGTCAGTGAGATAACAGTATTTGCAATAGCAACAGCAACAGCATCACCATGTCCCTCGAAGACTCTCTAAGATCTCTCTCCCTCGACTACCTCAACCTTCTCATCAACGGCCAACAAGCCTTCAGCGACGTCACTTTCCAAGTCGAGGGTCGTTTGGTTCACGCGCACCGCTGCATCTTGGCCGCGCGTAGCCTCTTCTTCAGGAAATTCTTCTGCGGACCCGACCCCACGGCCGGACTCGACCCCGCCGGAGCATCCCGCGTCAACTCCGGTGCGGCGGCCAGGCCTCCCGGCGTCATCCCTGTGAACTCGGTGGGCTACGAGGTTTTCTTGCTTTTGCTGCAGTTTCTGTACAGTGGACAAGTCTCCATCGTGCCTCAGAAGCACGAGGCTAGGCCCAATTGCGGCGAGCGAGGGTGCTGGCACACGCATTGCACCTCCGCCGTTGATCTCGCCCTCGACACTCTCGCTGCCGCTAGATACTTCGGCGTCGAACAGCTTGCATTGCTCACTCAGGTTAATTTCTTAATTCTACCCCATTAGACCGTAGAAACTTTTCATAGAAAGAAAATAAATTTCAGTGTCATAAAATTAAATTCGGCCAATTTTTTATTTTATAAATTCAAAAGCCTTAAGATGAAATTTGATTTTTTTTTAAAATATATGTATTGCTTAATTAAACCAATCATTTGTGTGTGTTAAGCGGTTAATTTGTTTGTGTCTTGGGAATTCGGACAATTACTGGGAACGTGTCTGGTCTTTGGAAAGTGGGACTGGGAAGGGGTATTTTCAGCTTTATTTTATTCAGATTGATTAATTTTCTTTCTGCTCTTCCGTTTTGGTAATTCTTTAATATTATGTGATGCATGATTGATGGAGTGAGGGAGATTTTTCGGGGGTACCAATTTGTGTTTTTTATCAATCGCATCATCATGATTCATTAGGAGAGGTTGCAGGTTTTATGATCCCATGGCACCTCTCTGGAATATGAAATTCCTTCTTAACAAACCATCCATCTTGACTTTTGGCTCCAATATTTCAAAGATAAACAAACAGACCCAATGTATTTCTTTTACTCAAAGCTTGTGCTGCTTCTTCCAAGTTTACACTATCTTTCAGTCTCGGTTGGGTTTGAGGTTATTAACGGAAAAATTGAAGCAAAATGTCTCTTGATTTCATGTGGTATATTTTAGAGACATTAAGTTTCTCGATCTGGTGTTCCTCTACCCAGTTTGAAGCATACCAAATATTTTCTAAATTAAGATGATAAATCAACATCCAATCTTGTCTTCCGCGCAACAAACACATGAAATCTTTCCCGAACAATTACTTTCCCCATTTGGGTTGGGATTCGAAAAGAGAACAAACTAAACAATAGGAAAGAGTCTGCGGCTCCGACGTTATTTTGGCAAACATTCACCGGATTTTCTTTTCTTCCTTTTTTCTTTTTCCAATCAATTCTCATACTTGCCATAGTTGGAGTGTGTCATGAAAAATTTTCCAACGTCGTAAGAGCAAATTCACTTACCTTACTATTTTCTTCTCTTACTTTACTCCATGAGATTATAACCAGCTTAAATCCCTTTAATCATGACTTTACAAAACATTCTTGATCCTTACTTTGCATAACATTATTAACTTGTTTTATTATTTTTTTAATACATTTTTCTTACCAATAAGGACTAAAATAGGTGTATAATATTTTACTAAGTTTCTACTAAAGTAAGAATTTTGTAAAATGAGATGAGTTAAAAAATAAATTATGATTATGATTTAATTGTATTCTTTGACACTTGTATTTTTAGGGTGTTTTTGAGCATTAAATTTTCTAAAATAAAAAGAGGAAGGACAATTTTTTTTGTTTTTAATAAATATTCTCAAATTCTATATTTTTAAATAAATAAAATAAAATGATTGATTAATATAAATTTAATATTTTAATTATTGATTTCTTTTTATATTTATCATATATTTGTTTTAATTTAAAAATAAAATATTTACTTTTTCTTTCTTTTCCTTAATTTAAAATATAATTTCCAAATATGTCTTTAATCTTTCAGTTTGTAGAAGTCTTTTACCATTGAAACAGTTAAAGTGAACTATGATTTATAAATTTTAAAACCGAACTGACAATTTGGTAAGTTTACAACCTAGTGAAAAAAATAATAAATGACTGATATTTTTGTTATCAGTTTACTTTTACTTTTTTATAAAATTACATAAAAGAATAATTGTTTGATCAAAATAAGCTTACAGACTTTGGTGTTTGATCCTGGCTCTTACTCCTTGTTTTGCTGTTTCTTGACAGAAACAACTAGCAAGCATGGTAGAGAAGGCCTCAATAGACGATGTGATGAAAGTTCTGATAGCATCAAGAAAGCAAGAAATGCACCAACTGTGGAATACATGCTCCCATCTTGTGGCAAAGTCAGGTCTCCCACCAGAGGTTCTCGCCAAACACCTTCCCATAGACGTAGTCGCAAAAATTGAAGAACTACGTCTCAAATCCTCCCTCGCACGCCGTTCCCTCATGCCCCTTCATCCACACCACCAACATCACGACCTCGTACCCGACCTCGAAGACCACAAAATCCGCCGCATGCGTCGCGCCCTCGACTCCTCGGACGTAGAACTCGTCAAACTCATGGTCATGGGCGAAGGCCTCAACCTCGACGAAGCACTCGCTTTGCACTACGCCGTAGAAAATTGCAGCCGCGAAGTTGTGAAAGCGCTTCTCGAATTAGGCGCCGCAGATGTCAACTTCCCCGCCGGCCCTGCCGGAAAAACGCCGCTCCATGTTGCCGCCGAGATGGTCTCGCCGGAGATGGTGGCGGTGCTGTTGGACCACCACGCCGACCCGAACGTCCGAACCGTCGAAGGTGTCACCCCTTTGGACACCCTCCGAACCCTAACCTCGGATTTCCTCTTCAAAGGCGCTGTCCCCGGTTTAACCCACATTGAACCCAACAAGTTAAGGTTGTGTTTGGAGCTCGTGCAATCCGCGGCTCTTGTTTTGTCGCGCGAAGAAGGAAACAATGCTAGTAACAATAACAATAACAACAACCCTGCTTCCTCAACGGTTATTTACCCGCCATTGAGTGAAGACCATAGCAGCAGTAGCAGCGGGAATAACAACATTGCGAACCTGAATTTGGATTCTAGGTTGGTGTATCTCAACCTTGGTGCCACGCCTCAATTGGGTGATGATGATAACAGCCACAATAGCCAGAGGGAAGCAATGAGCCGTCATGGTTCGCAAGGTGGTGGATGTGACCCAACAATGTATCATCACTCTCATGACTTCTAGTTCTAAATTACTACCTATTATTATTATAAATATATTTGAGCAAGAGTAGTTATCTAGCTCGAAATTTCTACTTAAATTGGTAATATAATTGAAGTTACTTTGAGTTGGTATGATGATTCAAAGCGGTAAAAAGAGATAAAGACAAGAGGCTGGAGAAGGACATGTGGACACTGTTGGATGGATGGATGGAACATAATTTTTTTTTTCTTTTTTCTTTGTTTATTTTTGTCAGTTGAAATAGTTATAGTGTTCACTAAGTCATCTCATTACACTGTTCTCCTGGTTTTATTCTGTTTTTGGCTCTCTGGTCTATGTTGGGTTTATTTGTGCTTTTTTGTAGGCTTTTTGAAATGGTCACCATTTGAAGTGCGGTTTCATAGGAGATGAGGATAAGCGACAAGGAGAATCTAATCCGTGTAATTTTTAATTTTAATTTTTTGCTGTGAAACGAAAGGTTGCATGGAGGAGACGCAGGTCAATCTTTTCAAACCCACTTCACCTGTCAACTCCTTGTTTTTATATACACTGATGCCTAGCTAATATCACGGCCCAATTTTGTGTGAAGTGTGATCCTATATTTTGGCTTTTGTGATTTCAATTCTTGTCCCACATCACCCCACTTTCTCCTAACCCAAATTATTTACTTCTAGCCTGTTCTATTTTCTGCTGGGGCATGTCGAGGGGTTTCTTAATTATTGGGATTTTCTTTTGATTTATTTTTGAGATTAAGCTTGTTTGGATGTGGTGGGTTAACTTCATATATATATATATATATATATATATATATATTCTACTTTAAAGAGATGATTTTGGCTGTCCCCACTCCCTTCTATTCTCTTCACACTTTTTATAATTTCTTTCTTTCTTTCTTTTAACGATATGTAGGGTGTTGAATTAAGAGTTCATTGGCTACTAATTAGTTGTGGGATTTATTGTTTTCTTTAATAAAAAGAAGTGTTTGTGGAGAAGTTGATTGGTTGTCTTGCATGAATGCAACAATGAATGTGACCACACATGTCTAATTAAAATATTGGCACTATCTCCTTCCATGCAATCCTCTTTTTGTCCCCTTACCTTTATAGGGCTCTTCTGCAATATAAATAAATAAATAAATAATATTTTACAGCTAAAAAAAGTCTATTATATTAGTAATGCTTTATCTCATTATTCGTGCTTTTTCCTCTAAATTCATGATCGGATGTGGATCGGCAGGGAAGATTCTTGAGTTTACTGTATAATTTCTTGCATGTACATGGATAGGGTATGTAAATATGCCAGGTATTAACTGCATGTTCTTCTGCAAGAAGCATTTCCCAATCCAAATTGTCTAATTTTTGAAAACTTTTGTACCAGATGCATATCTAAAATTATATACAACTATTTTTCACATAGCCATATGTATTGTAGTCTTATTTTTCTTTTGTAACGAAGTTGCTTGTTTTAGTTTAATATATCCGTACCTTGTAGTCTTGTACTTTCATTGGACCATCTATGAAACGCAAATGAAATACTTTTCATGTGTGTACTTGATGCCATTATAAATCATAAATATGCAACTGTCCACGAATTCTTTTTATCGGAAAATACTTGAACCATCTCTTTATTATTGATCCAATAGAAATTTATGTTTGCAGCTCTTCCTGTCGATAATTGCTTTACCAAATTAGATTGGTATTCGGTAAGATGTGTGAAACATAACTAGTCTCAGTTATATAAATAGTGTAAATAATATCTTAATCTCGCATTTATCAGTGTATTTATTTTCACCACTTTATAATGCAGTGGCATTTTTCCATGTAATAACTCGAGTTTCATTTCGCCATCAAATGCTTAGTGTTCTGCATTACATAATAAACAACAATCTTCAATGTTTATACACAGTTGTTTAAGTGTCGCTGAAAAGTAGAACCTTCGTATTTCTTAGGGTTTATTCGTGATTTTTCTCTCTTGGAAACAAATATTATTTAGGATTCCATGCCTTGAGTGTTAGGGGTGAATACCATGCTTTAAAATTGCAACTCATTTCGAGTTGGGAGAGAAACAGTATAATTTTATTTCTCCAGGGTTTTACCGGCAGAGATTCAAGACCCTAAAGTACATGATTTTGACTTAGAAAAGGGCCAAGGGATCACTGGCATTAGTAATTAATATATAAGAAATCGGGGAAGCGAACACTCATTAGTACATTTGGCGTACCCGATTTATATCATGATTCACCTGCTTGTTGCTCGAATTTAAATGCCACTATAAAAAAAATAGAATTAACTCCTCATCTCCTTTGTTTTAATTTGCAGTTGGATTTGGAGTATTAATCATTTAGTTGGCGAGGATAACACAATATTAATATAAGAATTAACCTAAAATCTTTAAAAGTGAAAAAAAAAAACCTACTACAATTGCTTAAAGATAATAAAAAATTAATACCATGTAAAAATTATTTATAACTTTAAATCCTAAACTTTAACCACACTACAGTCTTTTGATACACTTATATTCTCCAAAGGATATATTTGAATATCTCAGTACTTTAAAAAAATATATAAGAAAAAAGTCAAATATAAGTATTTTTAACTCCTGAAGTCAATGTACAGTTTTGATTTTTTACACCTTACAAACATAAGTAATGTGAAACTTATTTCATGATATTCTATTTTAACTATAAGAAACTTCTAAATGGCAGAAAGGGATTTTGTGCCGCTCCTCCAAGGGACTAAACTCAAGTATAAATATCTTACGTATATTGAAGTCTTTTTAGAAGTATATGTAAGGTAATTATTTATAATTCATGTTAGACCAATAACTTGTCACTAACACTGTCCTACAATTGGTTTATGATTACTAACCCAATATGTTTCAAATTAAAATAAGAAATTAGACATGTTTGGTGAAATAGTTTGAAAATAGAAGAAGGGAGAGTGAAATTTGTTTTTATTAAAATTTAATTCTATGAAGTGCAGTGTTAGTATATATTTATACTTTGTTCACTTCCAAATTTAAGGATTATATTCCTTTATTGACATTGTGCTAAGAATTTCACTATTAATAGATGTTATAATAAATATATCACATCTCAAATTCTTATAATAGCTCCTCCAATTCTAAGTATTATTTTTAAATAATGCCTCTGAAAACAAAAACAAATTACACTTAAAATATTTCCTACACTACCTCTCCAAGTTAAAAACAATACTTTCTTACAGAGAAAAATTTACACAAAAAGAATAAGAGTATGTGAAAGAATGATTTGATAGTATTTTCAAAGCAGTTCTTCGGAACTTCCTTTCTTTTAACATGAAAGTGTTTTTAATTATAGTTTCTAAAAATTGTTTACATCAAACATCTCACTTGTTTATTATACGCACAAAATTACTTTTGTGAAAGCATTTTTTATTTTATTTTTAACTCTCTTTTCTTTTTGGTGCAATATACAAAAAGTTCCTATTGCATTTTTAACTTTCTTCTTGATGTTTGTTTCAACTTTGCTTGGTCAACTTTTTAGTGTACTCTCATTTAAATGTTTTTCTTGTTTATACAACAATTCATAAGTCAATAGCCTATTATATATGTTAATAATATAATATTTTGCCTTTTTTTACATTTTAATAAACGTGTTGCCTTTTGATAGCTAACATTCCTGTCATCTAGCATATGATACTGAAACATTCAACCAGACTAATCAAATACTTTAAATAATTTATTTAAGATAAGAGTATTTTTCATCTATCAAAATTTATACTATTTTATCTTTTTAAGAACTTGCTTCAACATTTGGTATGAAACTTCGTCCAATATAAAATATCTTGAATTATCAATAAATTTTTTTATTTATAACTTAATTTGTTGATTATCATGTTAATAGATTAGACTTTTTAACATTAGGAAATTATAATAAGTAGGTGGAAAAGAAAGTTAATTATAATAAAATATAGTTGCTTCACTTTTATTCTCAAACAAAATAAGATGAACTAAAAATTTAAAAATTAATTTATTTATAAAGTTTGACAAATAGTATTTTTGTAGTTATTAGTAAAAATATTAAAATATTTTTCAAACCAAATAAAATATATAAATGGTATAATAATATAAATATATATTAATAATTTATTTATGAATAATATATACTTTAAATAATTTAAAAATTAAAAAAATTCTTTTTTCTCCAAAAATTATTAAAAAAATGCCTTATTATAATAATAAAAAATGTCAAGTTAATTAAAAAAATGCCTTAATTGTTCCATAAAATCGGAGTCAACCCAAGATCACTTCGTAAACTATTATTATCCAATTAAAAAAAAATTAAATTTTACATTCACTTTTCAATTATAATAATCGGTTATTGAACAAATATGATATTCACCTTAAAGCCTATTCCTTATATACGATGCTTTTAAAAAATTTGTACAAATTATTTTTAATTTTGTAGTTGCCAGTACATTATAATAGCTTTGACTTTCTCTTGGGAAACACCTGTCCAATCTAACAAGTTTAAATGATTTTTTATTTGTTATATAAGATTTTAAAATATAGTTTTATAGGTAAAATTTGTATGAGTACCTATATGAAATTTTATTTTCGATTTCATCTCTATCATTGTAATGATATTTTCATAATAATGTCAAATGATATTTTTTGATTATCTTCATATGAATGTTTTAAATTTTACAAAGAAGCTTTATATTCTGTTTTATATATTTTTAATTCATATGATGCCAAATTTTATTAAACAAGTTAATACTTTTTTTGCTTTAAATCTGTATAAAAATCATCTTGAAAAGATTTTGTATCTTGATTAGCATTATATCTAATATTTTTATATCATATATTATTAATTGTTTGTTCCATCATATTTTTAGAATATTTCTCATCCTTTTCTATATCACCTTTATCTTAATATTATTTTTTTTAAGATAGTTAATTTATAGTTGTAGAAATAATAATAATAATAATAATAATAATAATAATAATAATAATAATAATTTAAAAAGTAATTCTAATTTTTT